TACCCCTCAAAACCGGAACGCAGTAATACTGACATTACCTACTGTTTGGCGGCAAAAAAGGCTCGGTGGCAGTATTTCCCTAGACGAAGTCTTTCACAAAGGGCTCCTACTGCTTCGAAAAAGCGGAAGACCATAAGTAAACTGGTTCTTGTTTATGTAGTCTGAATTGGGCCCCAGTGTTAACTTGTTTACTATAGTACAGGTACTCTAGTAGGGCTTTTATTATGAATTGCGATGCAAGTCACCCCTTGATTGAATTTCGGCCCCGGCCGCTCCAATGGTGGGTGATGAATGCCATTCAAGTGGCTTGCGACCTTAATCTGGTTCCTAATGTAGCAATCAGAGGCTTATTGTTTACCATTGGTGTGGTTTACTGGTGTAATGTCATTATTGGACCGCTATTACCTTTACGAGTCATACATGTACGTGCAGGCTGTCCCACGTCTATGCAAGATGGAGGGAATATAATTAGACAACATTACATACGTTGCTCTGATCCCAAAGTAAGAAGCTAAAGCACTTGTGTTTTAGAAATCGGAAACAACGACAGTACCACAAACACCTAGACCCCAGACAGTATAGAAAAGTTAGATTTTCTACATTGACCCGGCTGAGGATCGAACCCGGGACCACAGACATGGCGACACCATGAAAACCGGTATGCCAGCCATTCGACCACCGAGGTCGTCTAATAATATACTTTAAATATTCTGCCTTCATTGTTGATAAGTTTCGGTAACTTTCGAAATATTGGCACTTAAAGTTGTATTGTCACATAAAAAATGTCAATTACGGTGATTTTGCTTAACAATAAAATCTAATCTAAATAAGACATTAAAAAATCGCTAATAGGGGGTTGTAGATCTCGTTTTGTTGATAATAACTCAATTTCGCTACAAATGTCGATTACGTTAGATGTAATAAGGAGAGCAATATTGTATAATTTGCAGGGCTGCTTATTTTCGTAAAATTTTAAACAATCATGTCGACAATTTTATCGATAGATTGTGAAAGTCAGTAAAATTTTGTCAAAAATGGCTGAATTGTTAACGTTACGACGTACTAATGATTACTAATTGGGTTATTGTCTTCTTTTCTTATTTTAACAGTTGGTCTATTACTACCAAAATCAATTTTTACTCATACAGGCGGATTTCATTACGTATTATAAATTAAAATAAAAAACTTTAAAATATGTCTACTATTTCTATTTTTAAAACACATACTTCCAAATTTGTATGAATTGTGATTGAATAAATTAAATTGAATGAATGAATTGAATGATTGAATGAATGAATTTTCGAAAATCAGTAAACGTTCTAAAATAAAATATTTATCGAATACAATCTCTAGTTTTGCAAGCGGGAAACATTTGTCCGCAACGAACAGTCATTTTATTCCGTCTTCAAAAAATAATGAATTAATAATAAATTATCATTTTATTTCCAATCACAATGGTATTGATCTTATAATAGATACATACGGAAGTTGAAATGACAACGTGTTTGACCATTGTGAGAGAGCCGAATCTGTACTAGGATACCCTGTGTTACAGTATTCAGTATTCAAAAAAGACAGGATTATAGATGTGCTATAGATAACTACGTTACAGCTTCTAGCGAAAAGACGGACCGTTTAAGTTAAAACATTTTGTTTACTAAAGAAATAAATGAGAAATTGGTTTCTTCAATAATTTCCGCCACCGTTACCTCGTGGATCCGCGCATCGAGGCACGGCCCCGTCAGAGCCGCGGGCCCGCCGTCGAACAATTCAATTATCCCCACAAATGGCTCGGAATGATGTCCTCCCTTTGCACTCCACCGAGCGTGAGACAATTGGTAATTTTGATACTTTTGATACGCTGTTGGGGAAACACGAAGGGGTTTTGGAGTATAGTTTAATCATTATCCCTTTTACATTCCTGTAAGAGGAAGATTTAAGGTGTGGTCCGTCTAGCTGGCCCAATTGGGTGTTGACAGGGTCCAGGTAATATTTGGGAGAATACAGACCCTCGTACCCAGTCAGATAACTGTACTCAGTCGTTCTTTTCGACGTCGACATTAGTTCTTTGACATGGGTGGTTTAAAAACAAACATACTCAATTTAGATCAGATTTAATTTCCAATTATCTAATCTAACTCATGTTAAATTCTGAATCAGAATTGGACCAATGTGTTCAATTACAGTCCAACTTCTTTAGAAGAAACCAACCGTGGCACGTGTATGGATGCAATTTGCAGATAACAAATCAATCTAGATATGAAGGTTCCTTCACTCTTCAAAGATCTGTGAACTCCCCAGGCCGCATTGAGCATTGGTAGACACGTATCTGAGAGTAAGACTTGTTCTTACAATAATAATAACAGTAACAGTTACCTGGTCTTAAAGAGGGAATTACAGCACTAAGACCCGAACCAATTAAGAAAAATTCGTTTCCTAAATTGGTTTCACCAGAAATCTACCCGGAGATATTCTCACCAAGCGCTTTGCTAAAAAGACGCCTGACTCTATAATAAAATAGGCACTCTGTTCAACGATTACGTATTGTTTGATTAAATAAAGTAAAAATATCATTTGTTATATATAAAAAACGGCACGAAAGTCTATAAAACACATTTTCATCGAAGATAACGCCATGAACCTCTCCATTGAATCTAATCCCTCGGGGCGTACGGAATCAATCCGCACTTGTGATCCATCAAACTATGATAATGCCCGGTTCAATGGAATGCTAAGATAGGGGAAGTGTTACCCCACCGAGTGACCAACGTTTTAGCATTTATGTAGGATTTTTCCAGAAACGAGATTTAGCCTTTTTACATAAATTGCTACACGCCCTTTAAAAGCCTCCACGTGAAACAGTTCATCCAAGGAAGTACTTATTTCTGCCGCCAAGCAATATTGTGAACACATTACTGTGTTCCAGTTTTGAAGGATAAGTGTGCTGGTGAAATCACAGGCTTATGGGACTTGTTAACTTATGTCTCAAGGAGCAGGGCGCAGTGGCAGTGCCCCTCAGATCTTTGCGATTTAAACAGGCGTGTCGCTCAACAAACTAAACTAACATCCCGCCTCCAATCGAGGTAAAAAGAGTAATTTTTCAGATTAGACATTTTAAGAATTTTCTAGATTTTTCGCTTTTTCTAGACGGTCATTCATCTATTAAATAATTTCGTACCTTAAAATTATACCCAAAACATTTATAGGTCTACTGGGAGACCAAAGTAATGAGAATTACCTTGCCTAGAAATAATAATAATAAATTTATTTACCGTAACTTACAATTAACGATTACATATTGGAACTATGACATTAATGTAGCCATGCAAAACGATGGAACGTGATGTTTTCCACTTCACCGGGGGATACCAATTTCATCATTTGCTGTACCGCAATAATGTAATAATATTTTAGTTATTAAATAATGTTTGAGTATGTAAAATAACAAAAATTATACATTTCTTTGTGTGGCCATTCGTATAGAGTCGAAAAGCTGCACTATTCTCTGTTATAACGTATTTTCGATAAAAACAAAATGTTTTTTGAGCCTATTAATATTTAGCAGCTAAATCACGCGGAAAAAGTGTCCTGGTCAAAGTCTTGGAGATCCCGCAATGTGGTCACCCTACTGCGGCGAGGTAATCCAATGATTTGCGTGATGCCACTATAAGCCTCTTGTAAATCAACATGGCCGCCCTACTGCCTCTGCCGCTACTGCTTGAGCCGCCTTCACCGACGTCTGCCGTCAGTTGCATACATTATATTTATTGTCTTTATACAGCTGAGGGCGAAGAAGGTTGAGTGTTTTTGTTTGCATAATCTGTATTTAAGGGCTTTTTATTGCAGTAATCTGTTTAAAAAGCTTTTGGCGCTTGGAGCCAAGTACGATGCAACCGAATGGACTGTTATATCGGTCATAAGTCCATCACAACCGATTATTTGTCTATACGTAGGCTCTTCTAAATTTTTTATTTACATTTTCTTATACATATCGACTCAAACTTGGGACAATAGCTAAAGCTAGTCAAAAGCGTGAAAATTTTCAAGTTTTCTTTGGTAATGTTAAAAAAGTTTTTATTTCCCTTCCTTGTAACGATTTAAAAAATTAACGTTGAATATTCAACATACAAGAAACAATAAATACCAGTAACTATTACTTTTAAATACCGACTGTCCCTCACAAAGAAGAATCTCAAAATGAATGCAGCAATTTTCCGAGCACGGAGCGATTTTATGCTCAGCGGCGCGTGAGTCGATCGTTTGTTGCACTCCCGGTCCCGACTCCTGGCAGTGGCATCGCAGATGGGGTGATTTCTCATCGCGTGACCCCTTTGGATTTCGAAAACATGATTGTAATGCTCAAAGCCTATTGTAGTTTGTATTTCTGTTATGAGAAATGGAAATTCCATCTGCCAAAGTAGACCGAGAGAACAAAAATATTTGAAAATGAAAATATTTGAAAATGTGCAGCGGAAACAATTTTATTGTTAGGGAAAACCTCTTAGCAGTCATACATTTGTGCCATTTGAAGTGGAAATATGACATCAAAATTGCTGCAAACCTTCTGGGGCGCACAGGTATTTATGAATCCATAGAAAACACGTGTCTATTGCCTACTAGGCACTACGACTTACGCTCTTGAAAAAAAATTACGAAAAAGAAAAGGATTTTTAAATATTTTTTGTAACACCAAGTGATGAGTCGGACAAGTCATGCGCCTGTTGGTAAGCGACACGCCTATCCATAACAGTTGCAGTGCCACTCACAGATTTAAATCGCAAAGATTTTAGGGGCACTTTCACGGCGCCAGACGCTGTGAGACATAAGTTGACAAGTCCCAGGTGCCTGTAATTTCACCAGTACCCTTACCCTTCAAAACCGGAACGCAGTAATACTCACGTTACTGCTTGGCGGCAGACATAGGTAAGATGGCAGTATTTCCTTGGACGAACTCTGTCACAAGGAGTTCTACTGCCACTAAAAAGAATTTCAGCACTTACCAGTCTTGACTTGATGGTTAAGAGCGGTCTTGCAGTCTTCCAACAGCTGCTTCAAGGGCAGAGGATTCTCCGGCAGGTCCAGATCTAGCAGCTTCTCCATTTCCTCTGGCATCTTGAACTCAAGAATCTAGAAGAGACATGGTCGAGACATGGATGTTTTTACTGAACATGTTATTTATTTCCTGAAAAGTTTCGTTTTACCGATGTGTCGTTACTATACCACCAAAAGGTAATGTATGTAGTGGTACCTTCTCGTTCCGATCGTTGACCTTCTGCACGTAGTCGAGCAGCACGTCGACGACGCGAGCCAGGAACTCGCGCGTCTGCGGCCCGGCATCCTCGCGGTAAGGGAGGATCGCTGCACAGAAAAATACAAAAAGGCATGTCAATACAATACAACGACAATGCTACAGGGAATTGCGTATCCGGGTCCGTACAGTCAAGAGCACGTCAACCTTGACACTTTGTATTTTGGATTGCTCTTACAGTAAGCGGCATAGAGTTGGATTTGAATCTTAAGTGTCAAGCTTCACGTGCTCTTGACCCTGTACTTTGTGCGCCACAGACCACATAATGCGCCAATCAAAGACACCGCCAATTAAGCATAATTTAACTTAATACAAACCACCCTTATGTTACCATCTCAGTCAACCGTGATTAAGGAACCTGGACCACAAGTTTTAGTAGCCTCCTGGTGAAAGAGTTCGTCCAGTGAAGTACTGCCACCTTACCTATTTCTGCCGCCAAGCAGTAATGTGAGTATTACTGCGTTCCGGTTTTGAAGGGTAGGGGTGCTGGTGAAATTACACGCACATGGAACTTGTTAACTTATGTCTCAGGGTGACAGGCGCAGTGGCACTGCAACTGTTACGGGCGCCTGCCTGTGTAGCTTTTACACCAGGTACATGACTTGTTCGCCCCGTCACTTAGTATTATTAAAAAAAAACAAATCTGCTAGTTTTTAATATCTCATTTATGTCAATAGATTTTCAATGGTAGGATTTTGTATTCAACTCCCATTGCAAATTTTTGGTATTCTGCTCTTCAATGGGGAGTCGATGGCGTAGTATACTAACTAAATTGCTGATTTAAACGAGATAAAAATTAAGATATGCACAGTAATTTCCATGGTAGTTTTGGTAAGGCAACATCGATTGTTAATATTTGAATGATTGAATGCCATTACAGCCATTCCACTGACATTCTAGTGATCTTCAACTACCGTTCTAATGTTCAGCAATGTCAACGTGGCTGTTGATGTATCGGGGTCGTCTACATATTGTTAGTTTTATCGTTTGGTTAAATTGAAATTAATTACCTATACAATACACATTTTAACTAATACATAATATGTAAATGGTAACCACATTAATTGTATTTTAATGGAATAGACTGCTCATGTTTCGTGTTTAAAGTTATAATAAATGCTTGTTTCATTCAATGTTTTAGTGTGAATCTGTGACGGCCACTATGTTCCGTGTCACATGTGCATGTAATTGCAATGTCCAGTGGTTTCAAGACGATCCGAAAAAAGAAGTCTCATTACCAATGTATAGCAATCACGGTCTACATTTTATTTTACACAAGAACCTATATAACAAACGTCTAGACAAACTTCAGACGATAAGAGGGAAAACAATAGACTAGTTTGCATTCATAAAATAAAAATGCCGTACAATAGTTTTTCATTAAAACAAACACCCTTTTAAAATCCCTCCCGTCTCGACTGCAGCGAGTGAAAGAGGGCAGAGAGGAGCAGTGAGGGAACGCGAGGTATTTCACTTACACGTCCCGATTAGTTACACTTCGCAGTGCCGCTACATTGCATTACGCAGACTAATTTGTTTTTAATAAAAGGGTAGTAAGTCATGTTTAGTACAATGTGATTTATTTTCGATAACAGTCTTAATTAAGAAACTTAATTTTAATTATAAAACTTAATTTTGAAACTCTTCGTGAATTGTAAAACAAAAGATAAATGTAATGGAGAATATAATAAATTGTTTAAAATTTGTAAAATTCTGCCAGTTTCCATAAAGCACAAATATTTTGTAGCTGTTAATAACTTTGAAACACAGGAGCGTGGCTCATTATTGTGTCCTGTTAATAGCGACTGTAACACGAGATCAATGACCTCAAGTAAATATGTAGTACCAAAGGTTAAAAATTATTAAGGAGATAGAACCCTAAAAAAACGTATTCCGTACCTACTGAATAGTTTCCCTGAGGTTATTAGACGTGAACATAAGAAAAATAAATTTAAACGTCTTTTATTTCAGTACTTGTTGACTAGTTTAGATTAATTATTAATATTGTAATAGCGAGATTCATGTTTTGATCCCGCAGTCAAACTGAATAATTCAGTTTTGTGGGACTATGTTCTAGATTAAGAAAATGTTTTTTTTGTAATTAATAAATAAATAAATAAGCGCCCGGTTCCTAGTAGATCAACCCCGTTGCTAGTATACTTATTATATAAATTAGTATATAAATTTTCCTGTGCATTGTAATGATATTACTTAAATAATATTGGATCTTTGCGACTTAAAAGCTCTGAGTGGCATTGTAACGAATATCCATGACAAGCGTGTTGCTTACCTCCTGACCACGGAAGAAAAAAAACAATGGAAGTGACATCGTTTTCATAGTAATCGAGTTGAGTCGGTTCTCATAGTAATCGAAGCTGATTACTATGAGAACCGATGTCGCCAAAACTTAACAAATTCTTAATTTGTAACACAACAAAATCTTGATATTGATTGGTTGTAATTTCAAATATAAAAAAAAAGTAACAAAATTCTGGTTTGTTAATATAATTTAAAGTTTATTAAATTATTTCGATAAACAGAAAATTTCCTTTCCGATGATATGAAATATCACCACGGGTTACATTTTTGGTGCGGTTATAATTTTTGCACTCCAAAGCAGCACAATAAGGCATTTTTCTAGAATTGTAGAGAATTTGTTATATATTTCTTTATTTCGTTTTTATTATATAGCGTAAAGAGACGATATTAGATTGTATATTCCCAGAAAGTACACCAGGCTCTCCCACATACTACAACCTTCGGTTCTGTCAAGACCCGCAGACCAATATATCGTAGTCTGTGATGGGTTTGCCGGGTCAGGGGTGAGTTGTGTGCCGTGGCACGCAGCTGCGATTACGAGGCTTACGTTTGATTAAAATTCCATCTTTTATTATTCTGATGATTTATTTTATTAGTTTGAGCTTTTGTAAATATCCAAGTTTTAGAGGGATCATAACGTCTTCTTAAAGGTAAAACCACAAAAATTTATAGCTATGGTAAGAAAATCAGGACTTTCCGGAGACAAATTTTGAGAATAAAAAAGCTATAAGTTTTACCCGAGCAGTTAGGTTATTGTGAAAAATTTCAATTATGTAGGTTTACTTTTAAACAGACGATAATTCCTATTTCTACTTCTATACCAATTTTCATTTAAAATTAATATTACAACTTTTTACTTCTACAAACAAATAAGAATTTACCAAACGGTAAAAGTTTAACACAAATTGTCAAAATTCATCGTGGAAATATAAACCATATGTCGGGCGCACAGGGCACAAATATACAATACCATATATGAAATTTCGAATAATACAAAGTGCTGCTGTACGAAAATAAAGAAAAAGAAGTACGTATCATTGATTTTAAAGTAGTAAAGAACATCTAGAAAGCCAGATTTGCCAGATACAACGTCTGCATTGTATAGTACATTAGCCATCTCATTTTTGCAAACATGCTGTATTCAAAAATTAACAAATTATACCCTTTTCCATCCATACACTTCACTCCTTTTTCCTCTCGAGGTAGACAAGGACCGCATTCCTCTTGTTACGATCCTGACATTGTGATCAGTGCTTTCATAATCTGGCCTTTTTTTAGGAAGTCCTCAATATACCCGAGCTTCACTCATTAATCCCTCTGCTTCATTAATTAATCCTCTCCCCAAGGTCAAGTTGATGGAATTTTATTTACGTAGAAAACATTTTATTTATTTAAAAAAATATCTAATTTCTTTGAAAAACCATTTTGTTTACATGACAAAACCATTTTAATTATTGTATTTTTTTTTCATTTCTACGAGCTATCAGTATAACTCTAGTTGATCTTCATGTCGTTGTCATATATGACATATGCGTGCGCTGTGGGGTCGAGAGAGGTGTGCGTTTGACAGCCCAGTATTAACTGATGCCGGATTATGACACTCCGTCAGTGAGGGGTAGATAAAGCCCTATTTTCCCTATAGGAGGATTTATAGATGACCAACGGGACACTGCAGTAAATACTTTCTATTCTATTCTAGACGTCAGAAAGCTAGTTGTTAAAAGGACAGTAACAGTAAAGTCCCTTGTGAAAGAGTTCGTCCCGCCAAGTACTGCCACCTTACCTATTTCTGCCGCCAAGCAGTAATGTAAGATTGTTGCGTTCTCGTTAGAAGGGGAAGGATTCTGGTGAAATTACAGGCACATGGGACTTGTCAACTTATGTCTCAGGGTGACAGACGTAGTGGTCCTTCAAACCTTTGCGATTTAAAGCTCTGAGTGGCACTTTTATGAATTGGCGAGTTGCTTACCACATAAAAATACCATAAAAAAAGATGATATTGTTTGATTTTTGTTTTTGCAACTAGACACAACATGCTCATGTTGTGTCATCGGAGTCAGCACAAAGCAATAATAGCATATGAATATTTGATTGTTTGTGGCTAAGGTCTGTTTGTATAATTTTTAAATTGCTCATGTTCATGCAGGTACCTGTATTCAAATAAAATGAATTCAAACTGGCTTTCTAATTCCGTCTAAAAAGTCAAAATAGCAATTCTATTCAACCTGACTGATAAATGCACAATTTGTGAACAAAGCCTTAGAAAAGCCAACTTTTCACTTGCCAGCCGGCAAATAGACTATCAAATGCCACTGCCTGCGAATTTTCATTTCAACAACAACAGAAATAACTTTGCATTTATGAATTTAACATTTGCAGTCGTAAAAGTTATATTTCCTTAACTTTTTCATACAAGTCTGAGTTTACGAGGTGGAAGTGTAAGTTGGCCAAAGTTATATTGAAAATCAAAAGGGCATTGTTATGAAAATACTCTCATAATGCAGAAATACCATTTTATTATTACCGAAATAAAGTAAAACTAATTTTATACTTAAACATGTAAGGTATATTTTACATTAACCGAAAAATCTATAGACAATTTAGGTAACTTCAGCTTAAAGTCCTACGTATTACGGTTGGTTTAGGTATATGAGTTGTATTAATAGTGAGTGTACCCTCATTTTGTGAATAAAAATCAAAGACATCTGTGAGCGGAAGTTGGCGCAACGTG